TGCGAAAGGCAGACGCTTCCGGAGTCGGAAGTCGGTGCCTGCCCGAGTGGGCTGTTGGTCTCGTGCCCGAGCCAAGGACCCAGCAGAGGCCTAGAAATCGCCCCGGCCTCGGAGGCCGCCTGGAGTCACCCGGCACGTCCATGCGTCTGCCGCGGGGGTGACGCCGGGCTGGTGCCAGCCCCCAGGGCTGTGGTAGAACACGCCGTTCCTGGGTAGCTTTCCTGAGCCGCCCAGTTCGTCCCTTTCAGGGGGCGCCCGTGGCTGAGTCCGTGCGGAGCTGTGCCACCATCACCTCGAGCTCAGAACATTTCCATCACCCCACAAAGAACCCTGTACCATCAGCAGTCACTGCCCCCCCCTCCCCGCCCCCCCAGCCCCTGGAGACCCAGTGCTTTCATGGCGTTGTGCCAGTTCTGGAAAGTTCTCTCAGTGCACGACGTCCCATTGTTGCCACCTGTTTGTGCAAAGGCAGGTTCAGAGGTCCTCGGGGCAGCGGACAGCAGCACCCCAGTCCTCCGGTGCGAGGATTTCCTCGCCCGATACCCACGGTCATTTTTCGTCTCTCTGACTTTGGGGTGCATTATTGTTGGGGTGCATCATTGCCCTTCACGGATGCTCACGCCTCGCTTGCCGGCGCTCAGGGTAGGTTCCTGCCCCCTTCCGCCCCGGCACCTCCTCCTCCCTCCCCTGTGCCCTCAGTCACCAGGGTATTTCCAGGCTCCACTTCCCGGGACTACGTGTCTGCGGGCGGCCATGTCCTTCACGGCCCGCGGAAGGGCGAGGCCGTCGGTCTTTCGGACGCTTTCCCCTAATGTGATCATCTCGGGACCCCCCGGTTCTCCCCAGAGCCGCGCTTCCATCTTTCTGACGGCTGAGCAGTAGTTCCCCGTGGACATAGCCTCCAGCTGCTGTACCCGCCGTCTTTCTCCGCCCGCCTGGTGCTGGGCCCTGCGGTCGTGGGCGGTGGCGCCGGGAGCCTGCGGGCGCGAGGCTTTGCCGTAGCTGTTGGTGAGCGGCGCGCAGACCTCGCCGGCAGGGTCCCGCGCTCGGGCCTTAGACGCCGCCTGGCCCCGCCGAGCCGCGCAGCTCCTCCCCACCCTGGGGTCTCCGTCCTCACAGGGCAGCGGTGGCATCTCGGGGGGCTCAGGTCTGCTTCCCCCAGTGCGGTGGGCGTTTCACGGGGGTCTGTCGGTCTCCTGGATGCCTTCTCTGGAGACGCGTCTGTTAGACCTTTGCGCCTTGTTCCGTTGGGCTTATTTTGTTGTAGAGCCGTGTGAGCACCTCACGGTGGGCAGCGGACCCCCCCCCCCCAGGCGTGTGGCGCCGGGAGGTGGCCTCGTGTTTTGTGACGGCCGCCTTGAGGCGCCGCCCGTCCTCGCCTGGCGTAGCCCTGCATGTTGATTTTTGCTCTGGTTTCTCTTGCCGTCCGGGCTGCGTCCCCAGATCTCTCTCTGCAGGGATTTTTTTTTTTTTTTCCCCCAAACTCGGATTTAATACGAGTGAGGGAAAGGCCTCTCTCTGCTGCCTCTCCAAGATGAACTCGGAGGATGAGCGGCCAGGGGGCGCTGCTGCAGGCTGCGTGAAACGTGAGCGCACCTGACAGAGGGCCCCTCGTCGCTTCACACCTGGGTCCCTTGGAAAACCAGAGCGCTTTTCCAACTTGTCCATGTTTTGTTTTCCAGGTAGCAGAAGGTCAGGAAATTTGTGTGATTGAAGCTATGAAAATGCAGAACAGTATGACCGCTGGGAAAACGGGCAAGGTATGTCCCCACGCTGCCGCCAGCCGCACGGCCCGTGGCCGGAGGCGGCGTCTTCTCCTTCGGGCCTCGGGCGGCTCAGCCTGAAGGGAGGTGGGCGGGGGTCTGCCCCGGCCTGGCCGCCGGGCGCCGAGGTGGGAGCGCGCTTCAGGCCCTGCCTCGTGGGCGGCGCCCTTTAGCGTGGAGGTAGTCGGAGAACAACTGCTCTTCACCTTGATGTCTTTCGGATGAAGGGGTCTTTAATTTTTAATGTTTACATCTGTCTTAGAGGCAGTTAGTTATCTGAGACGTAGGTGACCCAGCAGGAAGTGGTTTTGGAGATTGTCAAAATTAATGCAACTCTTCAGAATAATTTCTCCACGAAGAGCACAGTTCAGTTTGAGTTTCCGAGGAGCTGAAAGCCCCCGTGTACACATGTGGGACTTAATGATTCGGGGAGAAAAACAAGGGGCTGTCTTAGTGCTGAGATCTGTGCAGAGTCGAACTTGAATGTGTCTTCTCCCGGAGTGGATGCGCGTCTTTCTCAGCAGTAACTTCTCTTCCTCATGTGACGGAAGCGGTGCCGCCGGGCAGGTGGGGCCTTTCTGAAGGAGGGTCTGGCCTGGAAGGGTGGGCGCGGGGGGCTGGGCTCGGCGGGCCCAGCGGACCTCCAGGCCGAGCCCTGGGAACACGGTGCCCTGGCAGCGTGCCGCCGCCTGGCCCAGGCTGGGGGTGGGGGGCGCCGGCCGGTGCCGGCGGGGAGCACGGGGGTGCGTGTGGCCCGGCGGCGGCGGCTGCAGGACGCCCGTGCCCAGGCCCTGGGCGGGGGCTGGAGCGGAGAACGGCGCACTGCGTGGTTTCAGGGTCTCGCGGCTGTGCTCTGATCACTTTTTAAACCGCGGGCGTGAAAGGGCTGATTTCTGCTTACGGGGACATGGGTCACCCCTGTTCCCAGGAATGTTCAACCTTCTTGTTGCATTCGTATCATGAAATTCCTGTCCACGGTGAAAGCCTACCTGGTCTGGGGGCGCCAGGGCCCACGTCAGCTGCCTCCCCCTGGCGCGTGCCGCCGGACGGCGCACAAGTGCCGCATACGGAGCCCCTGGTCTTAGCACCCAGGGCAGGCGCGGGCGTCTGGGCCGGGCTGCCTCAGCGGCGGCTTCTCCGCTCCCTGGCCCTCAGCCTGCCCTCACCGGTGGGGCCCCTGCTCCCAGCCCACAGCAGGGGTGTCAGCCGAGGGCCGGCCCGGCCACCCCAGGGCCGAGTGTTCTCATCTGCGAGCCCCCTTTCCCTGAGAGACAAGGCTCCCCTGGCAGTGGGCCACGGAACCGCAGCGTCACGGAAGATGTGCCCCACCGGCCTGGGAGGCTTCAGAGCACAACTGCAGTCACTCCCGCGGGGGCGTGCGGGGGCGAGGCCCGCGGTGGCTCCGAGACCCCGGGGCAGGCGCCGGGCAGCCGCGTGTCTAGCCGGCGGAGCTGTGCAGACGTGGGCGCCAGCCCGGCCTCCCCCGTCCTTCATCTTCACGCTAAGCAAGAACCGCCAAGGAGCAGAATGACTCCTCTCTCCTCCAAGCCTCTCCCCTTGGGGAAGCAAAGCCTTGGTGAAAATCGGGGGAAATCGGAATAAAAAGACACAGTGTAAACAGACGCAGCTGGGAGCTCAGTACTTCCGCTGCCACGAAGCGCTGTCCACGCGCTGCAGGCTTTCTGAGTGTTTCCCTCCCCGTCAGGAGAGGTGCAGCCTGCTGGAGCGTTTTCAGGCTCCGAGCTCCTCTCTCCTCCGGCAGCGTTCTCCTTAACAGCAGCAAAAACACGCTCCGGGAGCTCTCAGGACACGTCCGCAGCCTAAAACCGTGGAGACGGGGGCTGGCGCCGAGCGCCCACCTGGCTCAGCTTGGGGCCCACCCCAGACCGGCGGCGGCAGAGTCTCCCCGACACCGGCAGGGCGCAGAGGCCGGGCGGCCGCAGGGAAGGTGCCACGTGACCCGCGTGCGCGGGGGCCCCGCTGGGCAGACCCGGCCGGGCCTGGCCCGCTGCTCCTCTTGGCCAGAAGCGGAGGGCGGATCTCGCCCCCTGGGAGAACTCGAGGTTCTGACAGCCCCTCTTTTTAATTCAAGGTGAAGTCGGTGCAGTGTAAAGCTGGAGACACAGTGGGAGAAGGAGACCTGCTCGTGGAACTGGAATGAAGCATTCACAGCCTCCGGTGCTCAGCGGCGAAAGGAGCCGTTGGCATGAGGGCCCCTCACTCGGCTCGGGCGGGCTCGGGTGCGGGGCGGCCCCGTGCAGCAGATTTTACACGGCCGTGTTTACTGCACATCGAGTCAAAACCAACATTCTGCCAAAAAATCACCAATGGAAACTTTAATTGATATAAATACTTGTACATATGATTTGTACTTCTGCTGTGAGATTTCCTAGCGTCAACGTTAAATCAATAAACCGAGCATTTGTCTAAATATTAGTTTGCCCTTTATCGAGTGAAGACGGTGTGCACCGGAGGCCCGGGCTGTGCCAGCAGCCGCAGCACTGAGCTGTCCCTCTGCTGAGCCGTTGGGAAGTGTGTGAGCCCAGCTCTCTGCTCCCAGTGTCTGAGAGTTGCCCCTGGCCGCCCCGCGGCCGCCCCACCCTTCCGGGGCGGCGCCCTCCCAGCTGCGGCCGCTCAGGGGACACAGGTGAGTCCCTCCCCCGCGGCTCTCCCGGTGAGTCTGGGTCCCGGGGTGCCGCCTCGGGCCCGCCCCACCCCACTCCCGGGCGCTGTGGGCGGCTGCCGGCCCCCCGCCCGTGGCGTGGACTGGGCTGCCCCAGCTGCTGGCTGAGACCGCCCTCGCCTTTTTTGTGTTTCTGCGAAGCAAGTTTCCACTTACGAAAAAAGGGCTGAAAATAACGACCGTGTCTTTGCGCCGGATGCAGTCAGCGGCCCCCGGCTGCCATTAAGCTGCAGCGGCGTGAGCTCTCCCGTGGCGGAGACGGGCGACTCGGGCCAGCAGCCGCACGCCCACTCGGCGCCGGAGCTCGGGCGCCCGCCGCACGCTTGGCTGGGAGCCGCAGGGCAGAGCCCGCTGGCGGGACGGCGCCGGCAGACGGCGGTGGGCAGCGATGGGCACTCCGTGCCCTGCTGGAATTATTTGAAGCGCTGTTTGTGTTTGGAAGCTAAGCTTCCCGTCGGGCCTGAGGCCAGGTCACCGATGTGCTGGTTCTGCTCCAAAGGCCACCCCCAAATGCCGCTGCCCTGGCGCCTCTGCCGTGCGCTGCACTGGGGGTGCTTTCATCTGGGCCTGGGGTTCAGCTGCGTCTCAGCAATGGGCACTCCCTAGCCCGCTGCCTGGCACGGAGAGCCTTCCAGCAGATATACAGACGCGCCCCAACGCCCGTGATTCCCCAACGTTTTTATATTTCCCAGAACAGCGAGTTTAATTTTACGTGATTGTCTTTAGCAGTCCCCGTTTCGGCTCGACCCGCATCCTGAGAAGAACGCCACTGCGCCCACTCCGAGACAGCTCTTTTATTGGGCTGGGGCACCGACACCGGCTTTTCCTCGACTCTTCCCCTGGCACCGGCCGCAGTGAGTAGCAGCTGTCAGGGTCGCGCGAAATGTCACCTTCAGATCAGAGCAAGGCAGGGGGAAAGTGGCAGTGAGGACAGGTGCCCTCTCTAAATGTCACTTGGGGGATAAACCCTGCGTCTTCCTTCTCCGGCACAGTCAGGCCGGGATCTGGAAGCAGCGAGCCGCGCAGGGGTGTCGAGGGGTCACCCTCTCGTGAGCGCGCGTCGGAGTCATCTGTGTGATCAGCTGCACAGAAAGCTTCTCGTTCCCGCAGGCCACGCATTTGTTTCGAAGGGCGTCACCGGCGCCTGGGGGGTGGCCGCCTCAGGGGACCCCGCCGCCGGCGCGCCCCTCAGCGGCACTCCCGGGGGTTGTAGCGCAGCCCGTGGGCCCCCTGGGAGTCGTAGTCGTCGTGGCAGGGCAGGCGGGCCCACTCGGGCGGGAAGGTGGCCGTGCTGTACAGGAAGCAGCGCACCTGCGCGCCCCCGGCCGCGCCCTCGCCCTCCAGCACGACGGTGGCCGGCGTGCGCTGGTACCTGTCGGGGCAGTCCTCGAAGCCGTCCAGGAAGCGCAGCATCTGCTCGTCCACGGCGTAGACCTCCCCGGCCACGCGGCGGCCCCTGCCCGGGAGCTGCAGCAGGTAGGGGGTGTTGTGCTCCCCGGCGATCACCAGCGGGTAGGGCTCCAGCGTGCGGGCCCGGCCCTGGAAGGCCGCGCTGCCGTGGGCGCCGTCCAGCAGCACGCCGTGGTTGGGCTGGCCCCGCTTCAGCGTCCCGTACACGAACACGCGGGCCATGGCCGGCCTGTGCGGAGAGGGGAGGCAGGGGTGGCGGCGGGCCAGGCCTGCAAGCGCCTGGGGGTGAGGCTGCCCCGCCACCCGAAACGGCCCCGGCCCCGGCCCCGGGTCCTCAGTGGGGCTCTCCGCGGAGCCAGGATCGGCCAGCCACCCGGAGGGGCCCTTCTCCAGGGAAAGGCCCTCCTGTCAGACGGAGCCGTCTGCGGGGTCAGCCCTGACACCTGTTCTCTACTTAAAAAGCTGCACAATGGGCCCTCCCTGCTGGCGCAGCGGGTTAAAGCACAGCCCTGAGAAGCTAAAGCCACTTCCGCATGAGTTCGATCCCCGCCTGCCCCGGAGGTGACCACATGGCGTGGCAGACCTCTCCTGACCCGCCCGCTGCT